GTGGGGGAGGCAGGACACAAGCATGTAGGGGTGTGTGCAGAAGAACATCTCATCATACTTATATCCAACTCTGCAAGGCAATAATAATAACTAATTCTATTCAGATATTGTTTGAAAATAGCTAATTTACCGAGGACTACATGCCAGGTCCTAAGTGCTTTGCATTCATCGACTCATTTAATCCTTACAGCAACACTGAAATACAGATACTTTCATTTATGTCCTTCCCCCCCCCCCCCACACACACACCCGGAGGCACAGAGATGTTAAGTAACTTGGTCAAGGTCACACAGCTAGTACATGATGGAGTCTGATGCTAGAACCTGTCCTCCTAACCACTGTGTATGAGGAGAAGAGGTGGAAGAGGGGCAGGAGTATAAATATGGCCTGGCTTCCCTGAGGAGTGACCTTTCTGCTGGAAATTAGAAAAGGAAAGCTGCTTCTGGTGGGGCGGGGGTGGGGTTGGAGGGAACACTGTGTGCGTCCGTGTGCTTCTTCAGCTGCCGAAGCTGAAAGGCGGAAAGCAGTGAGTTCAGGGACTTCTCGGGCTGGAGGGCAGCTGTGGGGAAGGTCTCCCAAGCAGGCTGCTAAGCTGAGGATGTTTGATGCCCATCCGGACCCAGGCTTTCTTATTCTCAGAGGCCCTTCCCACACCCCCAGGCAAGTTCATCAAAACACCCACATGCCACATTAAAATACAAGGGCTTGTACAACACGGAGGGCAGTTGCAACCAAATTGTTTGTACAATGTTCCATGTCCTGAACATTTAATCAAACATCTGTTACTTCCAGTTTTGCAGTTTTCTTTTCCTCTCTTAGCTCCAACAGATCTTTTTCAGATCTCGGACATTTTACAGGCCCCTGACAAAGTCATAAAATACAGGGACAGGACTGAAGAGAAGACGCTGCAGCCAGACGGGGGAGGGTGGGGGAGGAGTACAGGACACTCAGCTCATGGGTTCGTACTAGGGGACTGGCGGCTCGAGGAGAATTCAGGGGGCGCCTATAGTGCCCTCGGAGCTGGAAACAACAGGACGCGAAGCAGGGGCCTCGCCTGTGTTTGGGGGGAATACGGGGGGAGTTGCAGATTCCCGGGACGTAGGCTGAGTGGACAGCGGAAGGAAAGCTCTGGGCCTTGGTTAAGCGCGCCCCACTGGAACGTTGCGCCGCGGGACTGCCGAGCCCGGGCCAGCTCTCGCCTTGGTACCGGACTCTATAGCCGAAGCCCGCCCCGCCCAGTCCCCCGCAGCCGCATTGCCCCGTCTCGGAG